CCACCACACCCAGCTAATTTTTGTATTTTTAGTAGAGACGAGGTTTCACCATGTTGGCCAGGCTGGTCTTGAACTCCTGACCTCAGGTGATCCATCTGCCTCAACCTCCCAAAGTGCTGGGATTACAGGCGTGAGCCACTGTGCCCGGCCAGTTGGTTTCATTTTCGAGTGAATCCAGCAAACACTCTTTTCTTTGACTTGCAGTTCCAGTATTGCTATAAAATTACTGTAACATGGGGATAGTTGTCAGTCTCAAATACATAAAATGACCAATTTCAGTGACCTTTTATCCTTTTAAGAAAACCTATTCTATGAAAATCCAATTTTGTGCAAAAAGTGGGAAATAAGTGGGGGCGCAAGTGTTTGCTTTATGAGACTTTATTTGATTCATGTAAATAGAAAATGGTTTTATTACATGTAAAATGTGATTTAAATTGGTCAAAATGACATTTTCAGAAAGTATACATAAAACATATGTACTCATTACGTAATGAGTACAAAAAGCGAGTCTCATTACATAGAATAAGGATTCTATCTGTGTGCCACAAACAACTTCAAAGAATTTTCTTTATATATAATGACACAGAAAGTTGTTCCTTAGCATCCATTTCAACTCCAGTTCCTCAGGAACATTAAGTACAAATTATAATGAGTTTATTTTCCAACTAAAGTTTAGTAGTTAAGCTAGTTTATTAGTTAATTTAGTTCTGACCTGTATGATTGAGAATAGATACAAGAGAATTACAGAAAGCAGATAGTGGAAATGATGAAGTGTACCTGGCTGACTTTCTGACAATTTGCGTGAAATGCTTGGCTTTGTAATTTTATATTTCTTTCTAGGCTGATACATTGAGTTTATTTAGTTAGAAATAGACTGGTTATCTGTTTTTTTAAATGCTGCTTCACAGTTATATACTACTTAAGGTATGTAGCTTTGTAGTCAATCTAAATTGGAATTGGGTTTTTGTTATTGTCATTTGGTACATTGGTCACTTTATAAATGTTTAACTTTTTGTTTTGAGTTAATTATAGATGTGCATGCATGCAGTTTTAAGAAATAATACAGAGAGGCTAGGTGTGGTGGCTTATGCCTGTGATTCCAGTTACTTGGGAGGCTGAGGCAGGAGGATCGCTTGAAGCTCAGGAGTTCAAAGTTGCAGTGAGCTGTGATGGTGCCACTGCACTCTAGCCTGGGTGACCGTGAGACCCCATCTCTACAAGGAAAAACAGTAATAATACAAAGAAATGTCATGTACGGGCCTACCAGATTTTATTGTGCTTTGCTTTATTGCACTTTGCAGATATTATTTTTTACAAACGGAAGGTTGGTGGCAATCCTGTGTCAAGCAAGTCTTGCCGTTTTTCTAACAGCATATGCTCACTTCATGTCTCTGTGTTACATTTTGGTAACAGTATTTTAGATGTTTTCATTATTATCTTACCTGTTATAGTGATCAGTGATCCTTGATGTTACTCTTGTAATTGTTTACAACCTCACTGATAGAAGAGGGTGAACTTAATAAATGTTGTGTATGTGTGGAGTTTTTTTGTTTTGTTTTGAGACAGGGTCTTTCTCTGTTGTGACCTTGTGACCAGTTCACCAGATGCCTTTTGGCATGTGTCTTGTCAGTCTTCATTGTAAGATCTTGGCAGGTTAGTGCCGTATCTTTGTAGCCACCTTCTGACCCAGTACCCTCCAGGGGTGCTTCTATATGTGTTTGTTAGAAGAGTAAGTGCATACTTAGTAATCGTAGATTTCATCAGAATAGTGAGTTTTATCTGGAAATTTATATCAATTTTATACTTAGATTTACCATCTGTAGTTATTGAGAAACTAATAGCAAAAAATACTTGACACTTACTATATGTGAGGTATTGATCCAGTCACTATCTATACAGACCCCTTGATTTGAACAAGTAGGTTTTATGATCCTTGCCAGTTTACAGATGAGAAAACTGGGGCACAGAGAAACTTGCCTTGTGTCGAATAACTAGTAAGTGGTAGATTCAGCATTTAAATAGCCACATAGTCTGTCTTTCACTACCATCTTTGTAATTTTTGAAATTTTTAATAACAGGATTTATATATGCTATTTATGACATCCCCCCCGACCCCGAGACGTAGTCTAGCTTGTCGCCCAGTCTGGAGTGCAGTGGCGCGATCTCGGCTCACTGCAACCTCCGCCTCCCGGTTTCAAGCGATTCTCCTGCCTCAGCCTCCCAAGTAGCTAGGATTAAAAGCACCTACCATCACCCCCAGTTAATTTTTGTATTTTCAGTAGAGACGGGGTTTCACTGTGTTGGCCAGGCTGGTCAAGAACTGCTGACCTCATGGTCCACCTGCCTTGGCCTCCCAAAGCTCTGAGATTACAGGCGTGTGCCACTGCGCCCGGCTGGTATTTATGACTTTTTAAAGCTCGTTTGTTCCCTAATATATGCAATAATTTAGATTACCTAGTCCACTACTTTATAATGAAACCTTGACTTACTGCTTTGTAGCATGAACTTAGAAATTCTTTTGGAAATAAGTAGTTGGAAAAATACATGCAAATATTTATTTGAGTGCCTACTGTGTACCTTACTCTATGTCAAGTGGATACAGATGTCTGGAAGTTTGTTTTCCTACTTCTGCTGTAAAGCGAGCCCTTCACCAAACTTTACCTATTCATTTATCCCTAAAATGGCTTTGTTTGTTTGTTTCTTTCCAATGTGTGCTGCATAAAGGGAAACAATTTACAGATGAAAGGTGTATTTGGTATCTTTATTAATATTCTTGAATTCTAAAGTCTGAAATTTGTTTTAGTTTCACAAAAAAAAAAAACCTGTTTCCCAAAAAAGAAATAAACATTAGGATGTAAATATTTACTGTTTATAGACATCAAAATTATATTTGCCTGTCCTATCTCAACAAGTTGGTTCTAATTCTTAAGTTCTGAATAGATGATAGTGACAACTTTGAGCTATTTAAAGAAAAAGTTCATTTCTTTATGCTGTCATTAAAACTGTTCCAAGTTTAATTATCAGGTATCTCTGTGGAAAAAATCGATTTAAGCTAGCAAAAGTAAGATAGAAATTATTTGTTTGGAGTTTTTTTGAGACAGAGTCTCGTTCTGTGGCCCAGGCTGGAGTGCAGTGGCACGATGGTCTCGGCTCACTGCAACCTATGCCTCCCAGGTTCAAGCAGTTCTTGTGCCTCAGCCTATTGAATAGCTGGGACTACAGGCACACATTAGCATACCCAGCTAATTTTTGTATTTTTGATAGAGACAGGGTTTCACCATGTTGGCCAGGCTGGTCTCGAACTCCTGCCCTCAAGTGATCCACCTGCACTGGCCTCCCAAAGTGCTGGAATTACCGGCATGAGCCACCATGCCTGCTCATAAGATGGAAATTATATATATTGTATGCGAATAAAATTAAATTTATTTCAAAGTCCAGGCCAGCCACGGTGGCTCACATCTGTAATCTCAGCCCTTTGGGAGGCCGAGTTGGGCAGATTACCTGAGGTCAGGAGTTCGAGACCAGCCTGGCCAACGTGGTGAAACCCCCATCTCTACTAAAAATACAAAAATTAGCCAGGCATGGTGGCAGGTGCCTGTAATCCCAGCTACTTGGGAGGCTGAGGCAGGAGAATTACTTGAACCCAGGAGGCGGAGGTTGCAGTGAGTTGAGATTACACCAATGCATTCCAGCCCACGCAACAGAGCGAGACTGTCTTAAAAAAAAAAAAAAAAAAAAAAAATTAGAGTCCAGAATTTTCCCCAGATGCTTTCAAAAAGCTAGACATTCTGTATACATAAATGACTAAAAAGTTTATCTATAGATGTAGAAAAATTAATACAGGTTTTAAGTGTTCATTTAGTAAATTCAGAATTTGAATTTTCTTTTTATTTGCAGCTCAGATCGTCTGATAGAAGAGACAATAAGGTAGGAATAAGTTTTTGTTTTGCTTTGTTGGTTTTTGTTTGTTTGCACATAAATTTAATGAACAGTGTTACAGCTGTTTTAGAATTAAAGAAAAAACATTTTAATGAACAGATCAGAGTTAAAGTTCATTTATCCTCCTTAAAGATGGAATTTTTACTGTGTCCTTCCCTTGTAAGAGATGTTTGACACCCAAGTATATTTCCATAGTTACTTTAAGTTGTTTTGCTTAAGTTAATTTTTGCAATTAATTTCTATTTAATATTTTCAATCTCAATCTTTTTATTCTCACTTTTTAAAGGAAAGCGATCTTAAGCATAATTTGATAAATAATTTTATGCCATTCATATAGACTTTTCTGTTATAGCACCTGCAAAAAATCTGCAGTAATAGTTCATAGTATCTGTAATAACATTGAACTAGTTTCTTGCTTAAGTTAAGGGACATTTATTTGTTGTTTTGAACTACTTAGCTTTCTAGGTTTGATGAATTTTAAAATACCTATTTTATGACAGTAAAAAAGAACATTAACTAGATACAGTCTCTGTGCTCTAGAATTCACCAATATGTAAAGCATTGGTTTTCAGGAAAGGTAAATCAAAGTACATGACAATAACAAATGTGTGTGTGTGTATGTGTGTGTGTGTATATATATGTGTGTGTGTGTGTGTGTGTGTGTGTATATATATATATTTTTTTTTTTTAAGATAGAGTTTCACTCTTGTTGCCCAGGCTGGAATGCAGTGGTGCCATCTCGGCTCCCTGCATCCTTCGCCTCCCAGGTTCAAGTGATTCTCCTGCCTCAGGCTCCTGAGTAGCTGGGATTTCAGGTGTGTGCCACCATGCCCGGCTAATTTTTTGTAGTTTTAGTAGTGACAGGGTTTCATCATGTTGGCCAGTCTGGTCTCGAACTCCTGACCTCAGGTGATCTGCCCGCCTTGGCCTCCTAAAGTACAGGGATTACAGGTGTGAGCCGCCGCACCCAGCCACAATTGTATTCTGACCACGGATATTGGGCCTGTGCTAAAAGTACTTTGCCTGCATTATTTTATTTAATTTTCTCAATAACCTGTTAGATAGACACAAATCATTAGGAACTATTTCCAAAACAAAAAAGAAATTAAGTAATTAGTCTTTGGTCACATGATTAGTAAATAGTATTAAGGATTCAGATCCTTCAGTCTTAGTCTAACTCTAGAAACAGAGCTCTATCTAAACCACATTGTAGAAAGAATACGAGGTTTCGGGTCTGATTTGGCTTGGAACCTGCCTGTGCTGTTTATTAGATCTTAGATCTCTGTTCTTTAGATAATTTACTTTAACTTCTTGGAACTTTCATTTTCTTATCTGTTTAAAAGTACAGTATTGATGATAATACTTACCTGTAAGACCGTTAAGGATAATGTGAAGAAAATGCCTGATCTAATACTAGGTAATTTGTAAATGGTAACTATATTATTAATACCACTCCTTTCTTTTTTAGCTTTTTATTTTGATATCATTTCAGATTTCAGAAAAATTTCAGTAGTGAAAAGAAGTCCTATATACTCTTTACCCAACTTCTACAAAGTTTAAGATGCATTGATCCTCTTTACTCCTAAGTATTTCAGTGTTCATTTCCTAAATATCTGTTTCTTTTGTATGGCTTCATGGATTCTTTATTCAATGGATTAGAATATTTTCCATCATTAATAATCTTAATACATTATAATCTTTTATAACAATAAGCCATTATTGTGTCTTGAATTTTTGTTTAAATTGTATGTGCTGAGCCTTCCACTTGAAGAAAATTTTAACAGAATTGCCTAATGTTGACTGAAGTATCTTCCTTGTAACTTTTTCCTTTTCATCAGCACATGAGATCTGATCACATTTTGCCAGGAATTATTTGCTTAAAGTTTCCCAATAATCCTTTTTCTTTTTTTCTTTATTTCCCTTTCTTTCTGCCTTCTCTTCTAGGGCCAGGCTGCCTTAATTAAGCTTCCACTTCAGCACTGGCCTATTTAAGGGCTGATAATATGAGTATAAAAACTTGGGGTACCTCATAGGACAAAAAAGAAAAGGAACAATTGAGAACCATTGAATTGTTACCATTATTTTACTAGTTAAAAAACTTGTTATTAGAAGGTCTTTTATTTCAGTATTTTCCCTTGCTTCAAAATGTGATAGGCATTACAAGAAAAGTTTCACTGAGTATAAAGCTAGTTATGATTTCTTATGAAGAATGTAAAATTTGTGTCAAGTAATATTTTTGCATATTCCATGTGGAAAAATTCACCTTTTCCTTTTAGAGGTACATTTTAAAACTATGTGAGTAACTGAATATAGACTTTGACAACAAGTTATTGAAAAGAGCTAGCATTTTTAATATTTATATGTTTATTTCTAACCTTTAAATGTATGACTTGTATTATCTGTTGTTGAAAAAAACGTGACTGAGTTCAGTTCACAGAATAGGTAAGAGGTAAGAAAGTTGAAGTTCCCATAAGCATATCAATGATTTATCATTTTAAAAGCATTATATATTATTTAGAGCTTATATTTTGCTTCTAAGTATTTGACCCTTGAAATAACAGCCTAGATTTCGTTCTGCTTGACTGTAAAGTCATGAAATGAGATGGGAAAGTATGTCTAGATATACTTTGTGGTACTGGAAATCATGCTTCTTCAACAAGTTAACATAATGTATGGTGATGATATCTATTCCCAAAGGAGTACAAAGTCCTTTGCAGAAATTATTTTTTAACCTCTGTCCACTTGGTGAGTCAAAGTATACAGGAAATGGTGATAGTTCCAGTTTAAAAAACAGAAGCAGGCCCAGCATGGTGGCGCACGCCTATAATCCTAACACTTTGGGAGGCTGAGGCGGGAGGACTGCTTGAGGCCAGAAACTCGAGATCAGCCGGAGCAACATAGTGAGACCCCATCTTTACAAAGTTGTTTTTAAAAAGCCAGGCATGGTGGTGCACATCTGTAAGCCAGCCACTTGGGAGGCTGAGGCAGGAGGAGCACTTGCATGCATGAGGTCAAGGCTGCTGTGATGGTGCTACTGCAGCCCCGCCTGCATGGCACAGTGAGACCCTGTCTCAAAAAAATAATAATATATAATAACAAACAGAGGCATATATCATTCAAAGATTGATATATGGGCCAGTGTAGGTTTGAAAGCTGTTACTTTATACAAGACTATAGTATCTACTTGTAATACCTTATAAATTTTTTTACAAAACAACCACATTTTCAGTGTATCATATTTTGTCATAATCTCTCAAACTGAAAAATTATGAATAAGAACTAAATGATGCAAAGGAAGTTGTTTGTTAAGCTCTTTTGTGTTCCTTTCATTTGGGGATCAAAAATTCAGTGTATTGTGCGGTTGACATTGCTCCCTCCTTCTGCTCTAATCTTGACTGGTGATTCTCTACACCTCCAACATTGCTATGGTCCTAGATGTCCTTCCTCCATTATCCTAAAATAATTTCCTCTATTGGATTACCTATTTCTTGGGATTAGTGCCTCCACTTTCTTACTTTATTCCCTTATTATGCTGAACCATGTCCTTAGTAACTTCCTGAGAAAGAACAGGAGGTAAATTGTTTTGGACTGCCTACATCCAAAATGTCTTTATTCTGCTCATATTCTTGATTCATTATTTAACTTAACCAAGTTAGAATTCTGAGTTGGAAATAATTTTGAAATTTTTAAAGGCATTGTTTCCAGAATTGCTTCTAAAGTCCAGGCTGGACACAGTGGCATGCATCTTTTCCAGTCCAATGCTCTGGGCATTGAGTGAACTCTTACAATCTGGAAACTCATCTTCAGTTCTTGGAAATTGTCTTACGTTCTTTATCATTTTCTTCACTCTTCTTTCTCTGTTGTTTCATTCAAAAAATATTAAAAACATTAAGTGTTGAGCCTTGTGAATTGATCCTTTCTTACCTTTTCTCTGTTTTCTATTGATCTTTTTGTTTAACATTCTGGGAGATTTACTGAATTTCTCCTTCCAGTTCTTCTATTACATTTTTATATCAGCTCTTCATTTAATTTACATGAGCTCTTTCCTGAGAGACAGATACACACATTTATGTGTATGCATTGTGGATGTAATAATCTTTTATCTCTCTGAAAACATTAAATGTAATTTTATTTTAGAGTTTCTTGAGCTTCATTTATTGCCCCTGTTTGCTCAGCCTCACTTTTCTGTTTGCTGGGTGATTTTATTTGAACTCTGTCTTTTATGTTATCTTCTCACACATCTGGTGAGTATTGGCCGTTCCTTCATATTTAAGGGTGTGACTCCAAAAGAGGATGAGCTTCCAATCACTCATTGCTATCACCCAGACTGGAGTGCAGTGGCATGATCATGGCTCACTGCAGCCTTGACCTCCTGGGCTCAAGCAATCCTTCCCACCTTAGCATTCTGAATAGCCAGGACTACTGGCACACACCACCATGCCCAGCAATTTTTTTATTTTTATTTTTTATTTTTCTGTAGATATGGTGTTTCTCCATGTTGTGAAAAGAATGTGTGTTGGGAAGCTCATCCTGTGAGCACAGGATGGTGACCCTTGTTGAGTGTTAGGCCTCACCGTGCATGATTAGGCGGACCTGGCTGTTTCACTGGGGACTTCAAATTGCTAGACATCTATGTCTCTTCTCCTGGGCTAGGTCTTCTGCTGGACTGGGGACAGCCAGCTAGCTGCATGGGTTAGGGAAGGCAATTGTGGGGTATGGCAGCTCGTTGTGCAAATTTCTACAGATCTCCTTTTTTTTTTCATGCGACGGTGGCTTGCTCTGTGGACCAGGCTGGAGTGTAGTGGCGCGATCTCAGCTCACTGCAAGCTCCGCCTCCCAGGTTCACGCCATTCTCCTGCTTCAGCCTCCCAAGTAGCTGGGACTACAGGTGCCCGCCACCACACCTGGCTAATTTTTTGTATTTTTTAGTAGAGATGGGGTTTCACCGTGTTAGCCAGGATGGTCTCAATCTGCTGACCTTGTGATCCGCCCGCCTCGGCCTCCCAAAGTGCTGGGATTACAGGCGTGAGCCACCGTGCCCGGCCCAAATCTCCATTTTTAACCCTACTCCACAGTTCTTCCCTCAGAGAGACTGATCCCTTCAATTCTTGAGCTTTTCCAAGATCTATGGAAAACTTTTTAAAATCATTGCTTGACTCGTAATTTTATTGAGGTGAATCACAGTGGTGGATTTGGAGCTGCTAATGTGTTTTGTTTTTGTTTGTATGTTTGTTTTGGTTTTACCCAATTACATTTCTTTATTCTGAAATGTCATTTAAAAAGACCAGACCATAATATTTCCACATGAACAGATATTTTTCTAGAATAGGCCTAAAAGTATTGGGAAGATGGAATTGTCAGCATTAGAACACATGGGAAATCAGGACCCCGGAAGAACTGTAATATTCTCTAGGACTTTTCATTTTCTAAATTTGCAGAGATACTGCCTGTGATTTCAGTTGAAAGTGATCCAAATCCTAGTATGTCCATATTAATTGTGTGTGTGTGTGTGTGTGTGTGTGTGTGTGTGTGTGTGTGCGTGTAGCTTCAAATGTTATTTAACATTTCTTAAGTGGAATTTTTCTAATGTTCTTTTCCTTTTCCTTTTTCTTTTTTTTTTTTTTGAGACGGAGTCTCGCTCTGGCCCAGGCTGGAGTGCCTATTAGACACTTGTATATTGTATATTATAAAAGTATAGTGTTCTTATTGTAACAACTTAAATAATACTAAAATAGATAAAGAAAAAGTCAATCTCCTGGTAGTACCCCTCCATTCTTAACCCCTGAAGCAATTTGCATTAACTGACAGTTGTGTAACTTTCTGATACCTTTTTCACTGTCATGCAAACATCTCCAAAGATGTTTGTTTCTGAAAATATTAGAGGATTCATATTCTATACATTCTGTGGCTTGCTTTAATCACTCAATATGTTATAAACATCCCTTCAAGTTAATAGAAATACTACTGTTTGTTTTGTTTTGTTTGAGACCGAGTCTGCGCTGTCACCCAAGCTGGAGTGCAGTGTCACGATCTCGGCTCACTACAACCTCCGTCTCCTGAGCTTCAAGTGATTCTCCACCCTCAACCTCCCAGTAGCTGGGATTACAGGCACTCACCACCATGCCTGACTAATTTTTGTATTTTTAGTAGAGACAACGTTTCACTATGTTGGCCAGGCTGGTCTTGGACTCCTTGGCCTCAAGTTATCCACCTGCCTCAGCTTCCCAAAGTGCTGGGATTATAGGCATGAGCCACCGCACCTGGCCCTAACTCATTTTTTTAAATAACTAAATACTGTATAATCACTGCCTGTGATTTCAGTTGAAAGTGATCTAAATCCTAGCATGTCCATGTTAATTTTGTGTGTGTGTATGTGTGTGTGTGTGTGTGTACCTTCACTTGTTATTAACATTTCTTAATCTCTCAGGTAGGATTTTTCTAATGTTCTTTTCATTTTTATTAGACATTTATACATTATCAAAGTACATTTGTATATTATCAAAATATTCTTATCGTAACACCTTAAATAATACTAAAATGGATAAAGGAAAAGTCAGTCTCCTGGTAGTACCCCTCCATTCTTAACCTCTGAAGTAGCTTGTGTTAAGTGACAGTTATGTATCTTACACAACATACCGTTTGAATGTTCCTTCCAATTTTGGGGGATTTTTTGGGGGAGGTCTTTTTGCTGCTGTTGTTCGTTTTTTACTATTCCAAAAGTTTTTCAATAAATATTCTTTTACAGATTGAATGTCGCTTATCCAAAATACTTGGGATCAGAAGTCTTGGGGATTTCTGATTTTCAGATTAGGGATGCTCAACCTGTGTATATCTCCTTACCCAATTTTGTTTCTCTTTTGCCATCTCAAATCTTGCAGTTCAAGTTTTGATTCATGTGTCATTTGTTTAGAATACTACCTCTAGGATTTCCCTTCAGTAAGATGCATGGTGGTTTACTCTGTGAGACCTCACCTGACCAAAAATGTGTTCACTCAGCTCCCAGATAGGTCCAGCTATGAGAGCCTCTTAAGCAGTGTCATACCAGGTAGTGATGCATCCATCACTGGGCAAAGCCCAGCAGCTCTTCCCCTTAGGGGCTGGGCATCACACCAGCTACAAGACTGTCGGCTCTCTGCTTGTCCTCTTTGTGGCTGCATGTAGCAGTCCTTTCCCAGCTGCAGTGCCTGGGAGCAGTTTCACTGCAACCCCTGTATATGCAGATCCATTGTCTTCCACTGTCTGGGTTCCTCAGGAAGTAATGAAGCTCTAGGTCTTTGCCTCAAGCTTGAAGAAAAATCTAAGCTTCCCTGCTGTCAGTTCCCTGGTTCTCTTTTCACTTGAGAGAGTATAGCCTTCCACCTGGCTTTCTTCCCTGGAGATCTCAAGGGAACTTGGGGCCTCAGATGGACCCTCCCCAGTGTGTCTGCTTTTGTTCTTGTGCTATTCTATGGAGGAAATGGGCCAAAGGTCAAGTCAGGAACTTACACTCTCACCATCATCTTCTCCAAATCTCAATCTCTTGATTTTTTTAAAAAAATATTTTCAAAATTGCTCAATAGCATTTCTTTTTCTGTTGCTATTTATAATGTCAACATGCAAAGCACTCTCTGTGTGTTACATATCAAAGTGGATACTGACCCTGCCCTCTAAGACTCTAATGTCCAGAGAGATAAGACTATGGGAAATGAATAATCCTGGAAGTGATAGCAAAATGGTAATAACTTCGGGCCAGGCTTGGTGGCTTACACCTATAACTCCAGCACTTTGGTAGGCGGAGGTAGGAGGATAGCTTGAGCCCAGGAGTTTTGAGACCAGTGTGGGCGACATAGGGAGACCCTCTCTCTACAGATAATTTAAAAATTTAAAAAAAAAAAAAAAATTAGCCAGCCATGATGGCACATGCCTGTAGTCCCAGCTACTCAGGAGGCTGAGGTGGGAGGATTGCTTGAGCCCAGGAAGTCAAGGCTGCAGTAGCCACAATCACACCACTGGACTCCAGTCTAGGTGACAGAGCAGGACCCTGTCTGCCCCCCGCCACCCTCAAAAAGGATATTAACTCAAGTATCTTTTAAACAGGACATCAAGATAGTCACATGGAAGAGATTGTGTTCTACAAAAAGTGACTTTTTCTTTTCTCTTAATCTTTTCTTTTTTTTGAGACAGGGTCTTGCTCCGTTATTCAGGCTAGAGTGCAGTGGCTCCATCACAGCTTGCTCTAGCCTCCCCCTCCTGGGCTCAATTGATCCTCTCACCTCAGCCTCCCGAGTAGCTGGGACTACAGGCACACACCACCATGTCTAGCTAATTTTTGTATTTTGGTAGAGATGGGATTTCACCACATTGCCCAGGATGGTCTCGAACTTTTGGGCTCAAGAGATCCTCCCACCTCGGTCTCCCAAAGTGCTGGGATTACAGACATGAGCCACCACACCCAGCTGTTTTAGCCACGTTTAATGAATCTGTGACCTTTGTCAGCCATCTTGGAAACTCAGCATAATGTTGCATGCATGCCTAGTTGGTTCTCAAGTAGAATTTTGGAACATAATCTCTTCATAAATTAAGGGCTGGTTGTATATGCGTATTTTATGATATTTTATATTTCTTTTCTATTTTTATAATTCCCTTTCAACAGTTTTTCCTGATTAAAGATATTTTAGTAGCTGGTCTCTTTTTAAATTCTTTTTAAACTTTTTAAAGTTTTTAAACTTTAAATTTTAAGAAGCGTTTGTAATATGTGATTTGTCTGTTTATGTCTTATCTTGTTTGTTATTTTGAAGCAAACATAGGAGGTGGCCTACTGCCTTGTATAAAAAGATACCAGAAGAGTGGAGTCATTTGGAAAAAGCACAGTGGGAAAGTGGCTTGGGAAGTGATTTTTTTCCCCTTATTTTCTGGCACAGTGCTTTCTAAGATGATGTTGTTCACTGTAGTTTTCTTTCACTTTTAAGGGCATGATGGTTCCAGGCAGGATAATCTTAAATGGTCATTTGTCATCTCTTTTTCCCCTTGCAGCATTGCTATGGCAACAAAAGAAAATATGACTTCACAGAGAGGAATGTTGAAGTCAATTCACAGCAAAATGAACACTTTGGCCAGTATCCTTTTTGAATGTTCGCAGTTTCTGTGTTTTGAGGGTAGAGGGGAGAAGTGTCTGTGTGTGCTTTTTATAGGGGGCAGGTCGCCATCACTCAGTAGCAGTAGAGCCCATCAGTAATTGCATAATATGAATATACTGTGCATTCCTACTTTGTGAAAGTTTATGCTCTTTAGTACTGCTCCTAAAAGACTGCACCTCAGAAGTTTCTTACTACTAGATGTAGAAGAAAAAAATTATAAATGTGAATTTAAAAATTATTCACCAAATTCTTTCACATTTTAGAAAGCTTTTAAATTCGTGTTAGAACTCCACACTATACATTATTCTTACCTAAACATGATAAATTATATGCCTTTTCTTTGTTATTTTTCCCATTTAGAGATAAGTCAGTGGCAGATGCTTGGAACGGGGAAGGAAGGAGACAGCCACCCGTGCAGATGAGCTGTAGCTACTGATAGAGTTTGTACAGGCTGAATTCTGGGATACATTCTCCACTTGTTTGTTGTAACCTCTACTTTAAAATGTTTCAGTTTTCCATTTTAAATAGGGTTATTACTACTTCCCAGAAACCCACTAGGGAACCAGAAAAGCCTGACACTCTGAGTCATTTGATTCAGCGAACCTCTGAAAAGACAAGCCTTCTAGGCAAAAAAAGCTTTCCTTCCCAACTGCCAAAGGGGAAGGTACCTAGAATTTTCAAAAGCTGAGTATCTTGTAGTCCTAGATAATTTAAGGTCACTTTTAGTTTGATATGGCTTTGCCTAAGGAAAAGACTATCCTGATGTGTGCCGTTATTCTCCAGTCTGCTGTGAATTTTGTTCTTCCCTTGTCACCCTAAGTATAAAACCACATGTCCAAAATCACATTTTAGATAGGGCTATAAAATTTACAGAGTGCTGTTATAGACATTATCTCATTCTACTAAACTATGAACTCGATTGCCAGCCAGAGCAAAAGCTAATTAGTGAATATAAGAGTTTGTATTTAGTGAAACTTTTGAAACTTTGGAATAGAAGTGTGAGTCAGATAGCTGGTGATTTAAAACACTAAAGCCTTTCTCAATTGTTCATTAGAATTTACCACCAGTCTTCTTTGTGACCTCTTCTCTGCTACTCTGTACGCATCTCTCCCATAAGTTCTTTCTCTCTTTTTTTTTTTTTTTTTTTTTTTTTGAGACAGTCTCACCCTGTTACCCATCCAGGCTGAGTACAATGGCACGATCTCAGCTCACTGCGACCTCCAACCTCCCAGGTTCATGCAATCCTCCTGCCTCAGCCTTCCGAGTAGCTGGGACTACAGACGTGTGCCACCACGCCTGGCTAATTTTTGTATATTTTGTAGGGACGGGGTTTCACCATGTTGCCCAGGTGAGTCTCAAACTCCTAGGCTCAAGCAATCATTCAGCCTCGGCCTCCCAAAGTGCTGGGATTATAGGTGTGAGCCACCTTGCCCAGCCCAACACTAAGTTCTCTTAAGACAAAGTACTATACCGGAACCTAGCATAGCACCTCATACAAATTAGTCACACAGGAATTTCACAGTTATTCCAAAAGAATGTGTGTTCAAAAAAAAAAATCAAACAAAATGGGTGTGGGTTAGTCAGGGCTAAAGTTTAGTTCACTTTCCTCCTGTATCTGCCTTCTGCTGCGAAGTAACTTTGAAAATGTTAATAATTCACCAGTGTCTGATTATATAGACCCTAGAGTTGGTTCCCACGAATTGCCTGAATCCAAGGCAGGAAAGGATCAGGTATCTTCAAACTCTCAGGCAGAACTCCCCAGTCTCCTAAGAGAAGAGGAAAAAAGAGACAGAGAATGAAAATGAGGAAAGGGAGGGAAATGGACGGTGGTGGCGATGGGAGCTGGCTCTGCCTGTGCCTCCCTGCCAGAGTTCCTCCATTCCTGGCCACGCTGGCTCCCACCCTGTCCTGCAGCCTGGCAGTAAACCCTCAGTGCTTGGGAACTGTTATCATCCTTTTCTTCTCCCTCCCTCTCTGTTATTATTCTTATTTGTGTTACAAGACTGGGAGATATGTATTGATTAGGGGCCTTGAGCCGCAGCACATTCCCAGTTTGGGCAAGTGCATCTGCTAAAGATTCCCTTGGTATGAGTTTCTTCCCCTATGCCTTTCATCACTGTTTCTAGACACTGCTGATCTCTATTTTTGTGATTCCTACGACTTTTTGCCGGAGAGGCTTCTTCCAAATATGACCTTAATAAAGATTTCCCAAAGATCGTTTTCCTGCTGTAAACAGCCTGATCCAGAGGATCAACCTGAGGAAGCGGCGGGACTCGCTCATCCTAGGGGGTGTTATTGGGATCTGTACCATCCTGTTGCTGCTGTATGCGTTCCATTGATGGGACATCTGCAGGGACTCTTGACAACCACCACTTTCACGCCCTGGTCTGGAATAAGGAAACGTCTGAGGGAGAAGTTGACTGTCTTGATAATTAGCCTGACCAGCAGGATGAATGCAAGGCTGACAGTGATGGACTCTGTGACATGGTCAGGTTGAGCTGAAGCCACAGTTTTTCTGTGCTGTCTTTTCTAACACATTTTTCTGTTTTTAATTAAAAAACACCAAAAAGGTTTTCAGTTGCTTTTGTCTCCTAGGAGGCAAGTAAACCAATCAAAAACAGAGTTTTCTGTGTTTCCGTGATAGTGTTGAAGCCTGATGACAAGCCAAGTCTTACAGCTGGGCTCTTTAGAAAACCAGGTTTCTACATCCAAAGACTGCTTTTCTTTTAGCCACCAGATTGGATTGTGAATAAAAATAATTCTTGTCCTCTTATTTTACACTCATAATGAGAAATCGCAAGTTCTTTCTCGATAATCTGTGCTATAGATTTCTACTCTGTCTTCTCAACTCTGTTGATATTTAAGGGAAGTTCTGTTTTTCATAGATTCTTTGAGATGCTGTTGGACCAACTTCAGCACGTTTAAGGTTGTCTGAAATGGAGATCACTGTAAAACTGTCTTTTTTTTTCTTTTAAATTACAAGTACACTGGGGTTAATTGTATTGCTGGAAAAACATCAAGAATGACAGTCTCGTATTTAAGGCACCAGTCATTGTTTCCATTTTTAAAAAATTCTTCCCTTGGATTAATATTTTCTACTGAAAAGAAGTGAAATCTCAGTTCCACTAGGATAAAAGAAATGAATCGCCAGTGTCTGTTAGTGCCCCCACTGCTCCTCATCATACCAGCAGTGACACTGGTAACTGAGGAAGGGAACTGCTCAGTTTCTAATGTGATCTATTCAAAAAGCCACATATAAAAAGGCATCGAGGGCTCACTGTCCAGAGAATTCCATTTGTAAATGCTCCACAATGTATGGGCAAAAGTTTAAGGACTACTGCCTGATGTACCAGGAGACCCGTGTTCTGTGAAAATCTGTTCATTCCAAATCTGGTAAGCATTTCCAAACATCTAGACAATGGTTTCACTGTTGAGGGTGCATGTGGCAGAATCTGTCTCTCTCTGCACCTGTCTTCTGTTACCATCCCTGGACAGTGACAGATTTTAAACCAGCCACCAGAATTATTTTTGAGTTAATCATTTCTTAGTTTCTGTAAATTCATGATTTGTCTTACTGAACTACAACCTGGTTTGTAGACTTCCAGCATCTACACTGCTGCTCTTCACCATTGGAATTCACTGTGGTATTCATAGTATTGGCTTCAGTCCGAGCCACAGGGAATAAAAGGATATCAGCATGTAGTTCTCAGCTACATCATGGTATATAGATGCTGTTATTCAGGTGAACTTGCTCATGGGTGGACTAACACCTGGTTTGGTACAGAGACTGAGAAGTTTTTCATTCTGGTGTCAAAGTTTTGTTACATTATGGGTGTGAAGGGCATTTGATATATTTTTCTTAACTATGGGGTTTATTTTTCTAAATATGGGTTGATTGACTGTTCATCGATTCAGGGTACCCTTAAAAGAAAAGTTTTCCCATTGTGAACCTTAAAGGATCAGGGAAGTAAGTTCATTGATTAAATTCTCTGTTGGGAGAACAAAACTTTTCTCCCCTGACACTTTATTATCTTTGATTTTTCAAAGGGCCTTGATTGGTGGTTGTGTCTCGGTTAGAATTTATGGGACTTTGCTATGTAGTTGGCATTTATAAAATCTGAAGTATCATAAATAAAGTTATTTATTTAATTATACTACCAGTCTTTTTTACTGGTCTGATTCTTTGTTGCATTCATTAAAGCTGATTGTGTGAGAGTGAACTGGGACACCAGCTAGTCTAGCTCACTGCAGCCAAGCAAACAAACCAGGTTGATGGCTGATGGGCCTTTCCATTGGGGTTTTGCTTATGTGAAGTAATGGAATTAAGTTGGTTATTTTCTTTTTAAAAATAAACCGGTTCTTCCAAGGAAGTTAAAGGCTTGGTGTAGATGTTGGTGTCAGATAGGTCTGACTAACCTCCCCATGCAGCAGCCCATAGTGAGATGACCAAGGGCCACATGTAGACAGCTAGGCCAGTGCTTTTTCCTCTTAGGGTTTCTTTGCAGAAAGAAACCTCCAGCAAGGGAAGAGAGGTGTGTGTCCACAGGAAGGGGCTCCATGTGGATCCCATGAAGGGATTTGAGCTCTTTTTAGCTCCATGTCATTTAACTTTTTTGTTTAACCACCTTGGCTTTCTCTCCTTTTTTGCTGTCCTCCTGATGGACCAGTTGCCAGATTCAGAGGCTAACAGTTAGTTACTTGTTAATGCTAGTCTCAGCCAGGAGGTCAGAAGGAATTTTTTACTTCTGGATCTATATGTTGCCTCTTAGGGGAAGTTATGCCCCCTCAACTATTGTCTTACTATAATGAATCTTTCCTTTTTGATCCTTTTAAGTAACCACTCAAAACTTTTCATTTCACTGAAAAAATAGGAAAAACCATGACAATAGGGCTGGGTGCAGTGACTCACGCCTGTAATCTTAGCACTTTGGGAGGCCAAGGCAGGCGGATCGTTTGAGGCCAGGAGTTTGAGACCAGCCTGGTCAACGTAGCAAGACTCTGTCTCTACAAAAAAAATTAAAAGATTAGCCTGGCATGATGGGGAGTGCCTGTGTCCTAGCTCACAGCTACTGAGGCTGAGGCCAGAGGATCACTTGAGCCCAGGAGTTCAAGCCTTCAGTGAGCCATGATTGCACCACTGCACTCCAGCCTGGATGACAGAGTAAGACCCTGTTTCAAAAAAAAAAGAAAAGAAAAGAAAAGAAAAAAGACATGGCAATGAAAAGGCAGGAAATTCCAAAAGACGTATTTCTGACATTTTGTTTTAATGTGTACTGATGACTCTAGTAAAAATGTTTAATGAATTCACCACTCAAGTTCAAACTCAGATCCAAGTGCTTTAGCTCATCTATCCTGGCAATCTCTACATTCTTGTCAATTCTTATTAATGATGCTGGAGGACTCCCTGTAATCTGCATTGCTCACCTTTTCTCTCTCTCATTTTAGAAAGGGGCTTTCCTTCTCTATGATTCTCCTGTCTTTTTCTGTACTGCCTGGTACTCAGATCAGGCATGAAAGAAAATGGAGACAGGTGATGAGAGGAGATACCATGAGGGCAAAATCCTTATACCCGGAACCAAATAATACTTTAGCTCTTTCATACTGAGTGTGAATACATCCGAATAGTAAAAGATACTGAGCCTTTTGATGCAGTGGCTCTTGGCCTCTATGGAATTCAGGCACCTTGGGTTTGCATTCCCACTATTAATTTTCTGTTTCACTGTTAGTGATCTCAACCTGATGAAAATGACTTTAAAGAACTGGACTAGCCTTTTGGTTTCTGATACCTCATTTGATCGTTTGTCAGGTACGATTTTTGGAAATGGATTGAGTTTTCTAACTTGGAAGATGTAAGTTGTTGGGAATAACTGGCCATGTCTAGTGTTACAGTGAATTTTATGGCAAATGTAACTAAAGAACAAATGGATTCTGCTCAGAAAGTTAGAATCATTGTGTTCCACTCTCCTGTTAGGTTAAGGGTTGTTTACCCTGGTCTCCAAAAAGATGCAGAACTTCTCATCACGGTCTTAATAAACTAATCTTGTTTCTTCCTTTATAAACCTGCGTACTCTTAGGTTTTGTAGGCAAAAAGAAACTGAGGGAGGAGCAAGTAAATTTTGAGGAGTTTAGTGGATAAGAAGCCCAAAGCTGAACCATGCATGGTCTTGAGGGATCTTTCTCGTTTTCTCTGTACCTGAGAGCTCACTTTAATATCAAAGTGTTTGCATCCATTCCCACCCTGTTAGCTCTTAAGGAGGAGGAAAATCAATTCCAACTAGACTTTCCTGTGATGGAAGATGTTTCCTCTTGAAAAAATGCCAATACAGATTTTTAAAACCTATTATTTTCCAAATGCACTTTGTAAGTTTTTGCTTTTAAAATAGCTTCTTGGAACCAATTTTATTGTATTTGTACTTAATTTTTGTTCTCATCTAAATGTGCATTTTCTGACTGTATAGAAGAAGCTTTGGTATGTAATTTAATAATAAATTAGAAATTAAATGATTGCATTTGTGGTTGTTTATATTGAAACAGTAACCATCAAGGTAGTTTGGGGATGGAGATTATGGTATCTTTGGTGTTGATAAGTGTTTCTCATGATGTCCTGAAACCCAGGATGAAATAATATAGGTGCTGAAAAGCTGTCACGTGTCATTCAGAAACCATCGTATGAACAGTCCACTAGTATTTTAGCCCTAGAAGTGAAGGGGAATCTCTTACCAACATGAAACTTCAGGAGGCATGACGGGAATCTAAAATTGTAGAATTTGGCTGGGTGCAGTGGCTCACACCTGTAATCCCAGCAGTTTGAGAGGCCGAGGCAGGAGGATTGCTTGAGACCAGGAGTTCAAGACCAGCCTGGGCAACATAGCAAAGACCTTGTCTCTACAAAAACTAAAATTAGCCATTCATGATGGTGTGCACCTATAGTCCCAGCTACTCGGGAGGCTGAGGTGGGAGGATCATGAGCCCAGGAGGTGAAGGCTGCAGTAAGCAATGATTGTGCCACTGTACTCCAGCCTGGGTGACAGAGACCCTGTCTCAAAAATAAATTAATTTTTAAAAAATAGTATACTGGTGGGCTTTAGTACATTAGTTGTGCAACCAGCACCACTGTCTAATTTTAGAACTTTGCAATTCAGCCAGCCAGTGTGTCAATTCCTCCTCCATAAAATGGTGATAAGGATGGCTACCATAATTGTACCCTGATTATATTGTCAGGGTTATGTGAGGAAATGCTCATAAGCATCTCAGCAAAGCCAGGGGTGCAGGACTGACCTGACATAAGATACATCCTTGGGTTTGTCCTAATAGTGAGAAACCGGGCCTCTTTAGCCTCTTTCGTTCCCTCTTGCTGATGTGGTAGAGGAGAACATTCAAGAGGTGATCAGCAGACATCCTTACCTTTGATAAAGGCAACTAAGAGGGGAAATGTAAGTTAGGTTCTCTGTAGTTAGACAGATGGAACCCAGCAATCAGTTTAACCAGCCTCCAAGCGGCTCTGATGCACACCAAAGGTGGAGAACCACTACTCTTGAGTGTCACGCTCTACAGGTACACACATTCTATTTAGTCATTCCATTCTTGACCAATTGCTTTTATTTTTAGTTGGGAACTGTTACAAATTGTGCTGCTCTGGACATTCTCAAACATGGGTTTTGGGACACACATGTACACTTTTCTGTTGATTATACCTAGGAATAAGATTGTTGGATTGTAGGTGATGCACATACTCAGTTTTAAGATACGTTGTCAAGACAGTTTTCCAAAGC